TATTACTCAACTGAAATTTCAGTGTTGTTTTGATCTGCGTTTCCCTAATTACTAAAGATATTAAACAAGTCTTCATTATTTGTTGGCCCTTTATACTTCTTTCAGAAGTGTCTATCTGGTTTATTTGCCTATTTATTGATTAGGTTTTTTTGGTGTTAAGTTTGCGTTCTTTGTATATTCTCTACATTAATGCTGTCAGAAGAGTAGCTAGCAAAGATTTTCTCCCATCCTGTGGGTTCTGTCTTCATGTGTAAATTGTTTTCTTTGCTGTGTAGAAGCTTCTTGTTTGATGCCATCCCATTTGTTATATTTGGTATTATTTCCTGAGCTTAGGGATCCTATTGAGGAAGGCTATATGCCTGTGTCTATATGTTGGAGTGTTGACCCTACATTTCCTTCTAGAGTTGCATCTGCTCCAATTCCTAGGTCTTTAGTCCATTTCAAGTTAATTTTTGTGCAGGGTGAGAGATATAAACTATGTCTTACAAACAGTTACAGTTAAACCATGGTTTTAAAAAAGAGAAAAGTCTACTTTCATTCTTCTACATATGGGTAACCAGTTTTCCCAGCACCATTTTTGAAAAGGCTGTCTTTTTTCCAGTATATATTTGGGGTGCTTTTGTCAGGGATCAGATGTCTTTATCTGTGCCGTTTGTTTCTGTGTCTTCTGTTCGGTACCATTGGTCATGTGTCTGTTTTTATGCCTGTACCATGTGGCTCGTTACTATAAATTTGCAATGTAATATGAAGTCAGGTATTGTGATGCCTCCAGCATTGCTTTTTTGGCTTAGAATTGCTTTGGCTCTTTTGGGCCTTTTATTTTTCCAAATAAATTTTAGGACTGTTTTTTCTAAATCTGTGATGAATGTCATTGGTAGTTCAGTGGGGATTGCTTTGAATCTGTAGACTGCTTTTAATAATATAGTCATTTTAACAATATTAATTCTACCTATCCAAGAACATGGGATCTTTCCATCTTCTAAGGTCTTCTTCAATTTCTTTTCTTCAGTGTCTATAGTTTTCATTGTAGAGGTCTTTAACCTCCCTGGTTGGGGTTTCCTAGGTTTTTATTATTGTTGTTGTTTTGAGGTTACTGTGAATTGTATTTGTTTTCTTTTTCAGCAAATTTGTTATTGGTGTATAGGAAAAGTATTGATTTTTTTATGTTGATTTTATGTCCTGCTTCTTACAATTTGCTATGTGTTTAGCAGCATTTACAAATGCACACATATACATAGTTTTTTTTTTTTAATATTTATCTTTTAGTTATCGGCGGACACAACATCTTTGTTTGTATGTGGTGCTGAGGATCAAACCTGGGCCGCACGCATGCCAGCTGAGCGCGCTACCGCTTGAGCCACATCCCCAGCCCCACATAGTTATTTTTTTAAATAAAAGTTATATTGTGCAAATTATTTGAACTTGTTTTACCTCCAAGTTTTGTTTATTGGGGTCAAATTTACATAAAATTCATCCTTCGTAAGTATGTGGTTTGGTGAGTTTTGATGAATACATATAGTCATATAACTGACCTTACAATTAAGATTTCCTTCACCCCATGAGGTTTTCTCATGCTGCCTATAAAGTAGTAACCATCTAATCTTTGCAGATCCCTTATATCTTTTCTGGCCCCATAGTTTTTGACTTTTCTAGTAGGTTATAAATGGAATCAAACAGTATGTAACCTTATTCATAACCACAGTAAATGTAAAGGGATTAAGTACTTAATTTAAAGGGTAGGGATTGACAGAATGGATTCATTTATTTTTTATATGGTGATGAGGATTGAACTCAGGGCCTCACATGTGCTAGGCAAGTGCTCTGCCACTGAGCCATAGCCCCAGACTGGCAGAATAGATTTTTTTAAAAAACAGTTTCTCTGTCTCAGAGTTATGTTTACAGCCCTTTTAAATTTTATTTTAAGACAGAGGCTCTAAGTTGCCTAGGCTGGCCTTGAACTTGTGATCCTTTTGTCTAAGCCTTCTAAAAGCTGAGATTACAGTGTGCATCACAATATCAGCAGGCAGAATGGATTTTTTAAAACCATGGTTTAACTGTAGCTGTTTGTAAGACATAGTTTATATTTAGAAATCCAAAGAGGTTGAAACTAAAAGGACGGAACAAGATCTACCACATAAATGGTAACTAGAAGCAACCTGAAGAGTCTGTACTAATAGTCAAAATAGACTAGAAAGCCAAAGTTGTCACTAGAAACGAGATGACTTTTGATAATGATCGAAAAGGTCAGTCCTCAAGAAGATGTAACACCTGCTCTGCATAACAAAGCCTCAAGATACATGAAGCAAACCTGATAGAACCATAAAGGAGAAACAGTTCACCAATGCCAGTTGGAGATTTCAGTACCCCCTATTTCAGTGATGGATAAGCAACCACACGGAAGACCAACAAGGAAATGGAACACTGCTAGACACAGCAGTGGCCTGTAGAGCACTCTGTCCCCCAACAGCAGAGGACACATTCTTCACACCTCACATGGAACGTTCTCCAAGATAGAATACATATTAGGCCATAAAGTAGTTTTTAGTGAATTTGAAACATTGCAATGTATGTTCTCTAACCACAGTATTGTGAAGTTAGAAATCATAATTAGGAGTGGTTGAGCACACACACAAGGCACTGGGTTTGATCTTTGGTTCCAAGAAGTAAAAATATGTATTTTTTAGTATTTATTTAATTTTTTTTTTAGTTTTCAGCAGACACAACATCTTTGTATGTGGTGCTGAGGATCGAACCCGGGCCACATGCATGCCAGGCGAGCGCACTACCGCTTGAGCCACATCCCCAGCCCAGTAAAAATATTTTTTAAAAATATTTTTCTTAGTTATTAATGGACCTTTATTTATTTATTTGCCTCTATGTGGTGCTGAGAATCGAACCCAGTGCCTCACATGATAGGCAGGTGCTCGACCTCTGTGCCACGACCCCAGCCCCTAAAAATATTTTTATATTTGATTGTAAAATATTCTTACAATCAACACATTTAAGGTTGGAAAATGCTTATAATGAATGTATAAATGGATAAAGGACACGACATAACTCAAAAAGAAAATTTGAATTATTAACGAACATTTGAAAAAATCATCCAGTACCACAAAAAGCAACATGCAAGCCAGGCATGGTGGTGCATACCTACAGTCCCAATCACTGGGGAGGCTGAGGCAGGATTGCAAGTTCAAGGACAGCTTCATCAACATAGTGAGGCCCTGTCTCAAAATAAAATTAAAAAGGGGTGGGGTTATAGCTCAGTGCTAGGGCCTTGCCTAGCATGTGCAAGGCCTTGGGTTCAGTCTCCAGTATCGTAAAAATGAATGAATGAAATAAAGAAAAACAGTGTGCAGAGATTCTCCCTCTTCCTTGGAGATTAGTGTGCCCAGATTTCCAAGCTATAGAAGTTTAGTACTTACTATACTGATCTGTTTTGGTTTTTTGTTTGTTTCTGTGGACCTGGGGATCAAACCCACTGCTTTATGATAAGAGACGAGCACTGTACTGCTGAACTACAGCTCCAGTCCTTTACTGATATGTTTGTTTGTTTGTACTGGAGATTACTCCCAGGGGCACTGTACAACTGAACTATATTCCCAGTTCTTTTTATTTTGAGACAGGATCCCTCTAAATTGCTCTGGCTGGCCCTGAACTTAAGATCCTCCAGCCTCAACCTCCCCAGTGGGAGGCCTGCACCACCAAGCCCAGCATTATACTGATCTTTATAGAAAACAGTATTTTATCTTCTAGCTATATTTAGCAGTTTGTATTTCTTCTACTTTTTTGGTGCTGGGGACTCAACCCCAGCACCTCTCATGTGTGCTGCCTCTCCAGCCCCTGTTATAATTTTTCAAATAGGCTTCATGTTTAACATAGAACTATAAATTGAATAAAAAGCAAAAGTGAAAGCCCTTCTTATCCACATCCCACTCTCCAGATGTTATGCTTCTCATTTCATTTTTAAAGTTCGCCTCCCACTCTTTTGCTTCCTCTAAGCATTTATGTGAATTACTCATGCAGCAAAAGCATATATCTTAATGGACGGGGAAAGTAGAGACAACAGTGAAAAGTCTGGATGTTGACTCTAGACTTCATGATGAATGTACAGTTATATTCAATCCATATGTGTATGTACATGTGAGAATGTTTTAAATATGATTACCTCATAACAAAGCACATACATACCTGATACATAATTAATTGTGATTATAACTGTATGAGGAATTAGTAACTTAAGTTGTGGACTACTGGAAACTATCACATGACCTTTAGGTATCATTGGGTTAAAAACAACTCAGAAGAGCTTTTTCACCCTTTTGTTTTATTAACAGTGTGAGTTGAAATTGATATTTGGCAAAATGGTGATGCATGGTGCATACTGAGAGCAGGTCTCTTCTTCCACAGATTATATGAATCTTGGTTTTTTATGGTTCATATAATAATAATAATAATAATAATAATAATAGGATTTAAGAAGGAAAGAACTGCTGGAGATTCTGGAACCTCCTTGTTTTATAAATGTATAGTCAAGTGCTTAGAACAAAGTAGCCCCTTACCAACTGTTTGTTGAAGTGAGAGGCAAGTCAGGTGAAGCCTGCTGAGAGCAGAGGACCTGCTCCTTTTCCTTTGCTAGCTAGTGACACTGGACCTCTCTGATTTAACTAAAAGAATGATGATGTTAGTAGTGGAGCTGTATCACTCATTAAAGCTGTTGCTACACTTATTGAAAGCCTAAGATGTCCATGTTCAAGGTGCTGTTGTTTAATATTTTTAAATCTGAAGTCCAGGAGGAAGGAATCACCAGGTCATAAGTGATTTGTAGATTAATAACTGCATCCCATGTGCAGTGACTTCTTGCTGGGCCCCAGGTCCTGTGAGGAGAGCCAAGTGTTTCTCTTCCCCTGGAGCCCAGGGATGTGGCATGTAGAGTGAAGAAGAGGCCTCTCTCTGGACCTGTGGAAACTGAACTAACTCTCTTTCTTTTTTCCCCTCAGCTGGAAGAAGAACGATCTGTGCTCAATAATCAGTTATTAGAAATGAAAAAGAGGTAGGCTTTACTTATATGTTTATTGGATGTGTGCGTGTGTGTGCGTGCTTGTGCGTTCGTGCGTGCGTGCATGTGTGTGTGTGTGTGTGTGTGTGTTTAATAAAGAAAATTTCAGAACATGGTGTGTGTGGACTTGCAATAGAAAAAAAATTTACCTTTCTATATTCAGAAAATGGCATTGTGATAGTTTGGTACTGATAATTGATAATTTGTGAAAATTCATTTACAGAAGTTTTAGATATTAAAATTTTAAGCCATGTTCAGTTATATTTATTCAGAGTGTTCTAAAATCAAATGTCTCATATTACCTCCTAGTTACCTCCTAGTTTCAATAACTATAAAAACATTGTAATTTTACATTTAGTAATTGCTCTGCATATAAATTATATTAAAATGTTGATTTTCAATTACAGGGGGTAACACCAGTTTAAATGTTTTGTTTACTTTTTTATAAAAATTAGCTCTATTTAATTTCCTTCCATTATATTTAAATGATATTCAAATGGAACCTAGTATAATTTTTCTGGTACTTATGAGTAAGGATGAACTTGGCCTGCAGAAATAACACAGTCAGAAGCCTGAGGCTCATACATCCTGAAGGTCTTTATTCTTTTAAAGATGCCATTTTTGTCTAAGGTGATTCTGTGACTCACCTTCTACCAAATGAGTGTAGTGTGTGCAGTCACCAAGAGCCACATCCCATCCAGGGGGGTGCTGCAGAGTACTGAATAGATGCAGGCTACACAGTGCCATGATTTTTTTGCTTATTAAAAAAACAAAACTCAACTAAAAATAAAAGCAAACCTTCTCAAGAGTAGCCTGCCCAAGAATTCTTCCATGCTCTTAGGAAGTATCTTGTTCCTTCTTGTCAGGACAGGGGGTTTCCCACTCTCAACTGACATGTGTGTCTTTTTTTTTTTTTTAACATTTTTTTTTTTGAGAGAGAGAATTTTAATATTTATATTTTAGTATTTGGCGGAAACAACATCTTTGTATGTGGTGCTGAGGATTGAACCCGGGCCGCAGCTACCAGCTGCCAGGCTAGCGCGCTCCCGCTTGAGCCACATCCCCAGCCCATGACATGTGTGTCTTATGCTTGGGAATTTAGGACTTAATACTTAGCCCACAAAGATATTTGGATTGCACAAACTATATGGGACATTAGGCCTTGGTCCAGAGAGGCCTTTCCTTCTGTTTTCAGTTAAGAAACACTTAGAGCTGGTGTGGCAGCGCATACCTATAATCCCAGCAGCTTGGGAAGCTGAGGCAGGAGGATCACAAGTTCAAAGCCAGCCTCAGCAACTTAGAAAGCCCCTAAGCAACTTAGCAAGACCCTGTCTCTAAATAAAATATAAAAATAGGACTGGGGACATGACTCTGGTGAAGTGCCTCTGGGTTCAATCTCTAGTACCAACGAACAAACATACAAAAACCACTTAGGGGGCTGGGGTTGTAGCTTAATTGGTAGCGCATTTGCTTTGCATGTGTGAGGCCCTGGGTTCGATCCTCAGCACCACATAAAAACAAATAAATAAAATAGAGGTATTTTGTGTCTGTCTACAACTTTAAAAAAAAAAAAAAACACACTTAGAAGAGCTGGGCATGGTAGCGTGCCCCTGTAATCCCAGCAGCTTGGAAGGCTGAGGCAGAGGATCATGAGTTCAAAGCCAGCCTCAGGAACTTCGAGGCACTAAGCAACTCATTGAGACCTTGTCTCTAAATAAGATCCAAAATAGGGCTGGGGAATGTGGCTCAGTGGTCAAGTACCCCCGAGTTCAATTCCTGGTAACCCCTACAAAAAACTACTTAAATAAATAAAATCCTGTCTCTAAATAAAATTTAAAATAGGGCTGGGGAATATGGTTCAGAGGTCAAGTACTCCCGAGTTCAATTCCTGGTAAACCCCGTAAAAAACTACTTAGATTCATTCCTTCAAATTTCACTAAGGTGGTGTTTACTCTCTAGAGTGCACATGTGTATGCCATGACTAGTGCTCCCCAGGACAACAAGGAATAGTGTCGACTTGGCTGTGTCTCTGTCTCTGACTGTGCATGTGTGCCAACCCTACATTGTCCCCATGGGCCACAGGGTGTTTAATTTTGCAGAAATGAGCTTCTGTTTCTTTAAAAGATCTTGAGTAAGCAGTTATCAAGGACATGTGAAGAATAACCAGGGCTTGCTCCTGTGACTCTCCTGACAGAGGAACATATAAAACCAGGCTGGCATAGCAGTGACACAGTCACCTTCATTTATGTAGCACTTCATGATTCTCAAATTCATCTCATCTCCAACCAACCCAGAGAAAGAGATGTGAGGCTCGCGTTTTAAAATGATGACACTAAAGCCCCAACAGGCAGGCAGCTTGTGAGGCTGGCGAGTGGCAGAGGCAGGCTTAAGACTCAGACCTTCAGCTTTTTGCCTGGGTTCTCTTCTCCCTGTAGCTTAAACCTTTTTATTTATTATTTTAAAAGATGCTGTGCTTTGGGCTAGGTTGTGGCTCAGGGGTTGAGCGCTTGCTTAGCATGTGTGGCCCTGGGTTCGATCCTCAGCACCACATAAAAATAAATAAGAAATAAAGGCCCATTGTCAACTAAAAAAAAATATTTAAAAAAGATGCTGTGCTTCACTAGTCCTATATTTTGTGACTATAACTAAATTTACATGCCTTTCAAAATATGATTAGACCTGTGACTTTTTTCATGGCTTAAAAAGGAGGGACAAATTTGGGGACTAGGAAATTCTCTCTCTTCATTTCACTATCTCTGTTCCGATTTTATGTCCTGGGTATTTAGGACAGTGTCTCTTGAAAATATTTGCTTGTTTTTTTTTTTTTTGGTACTGGGGATTGAACTCAAGGGCACTCAACCACTGAGCCACATCCCCATTTTGTATTTTATTTAGAGACAGGGTCTCACTGAATTGCTTAGTGCCTCACTTTTGCTGAGGCTGGCTTTGAACTCATGATTCTCCTGCCTCAGCCTCCTGAGCTGCTGGGATTACAGGCGTGCATGTGCCCAGCACGATTGCTCATTTTGGTGAGCAAATGTAGATAAAGATGACAATCTTTTTCTGGAAGTAAAAGAATTTAGAACCTTTTTTCTCTTATTTAGAATTTTTTTTTGTTTGTTAATTAACTTTAATGGAAAGTTATTTCTGTTTTCAAAATCTGAATGTAAATGTATTTTAGGTAATAAGTTAGACCCTCAAATGCCTTATAAATGCCAGTTTGGTAAAGGATTTGTATGTGGATCTGTGTGTGTAATGGGTAAGTAAGTTTATCAAGACTAGAGTATTGGGCTGGGGATGTGGCTCAAGCGGTAGCGCGCTCGCCTAGCATGCGTGCGGCCCGGGTTCGATCCTCAGCAGCACCACATACCAACAAAGATGTTGTGTCCGCCAAGAACTAAGAAAAAAATAAATAAATGTTAAAATTCTCTCTCTCTCTCTGTCCCCCTCTCTCTCTCACTCTCTCTTTAAAAAAAAAAAAAAAAAAAAAAAGACGAGTATTTAAAAGAGCTTGATATTTTATACGTTTAAAAGTCTTGTCCAAGAGTGTAAGTCATAAAGGTATTTGAAATGTAATCACTCATCTAAGAACCAAGTGCTTAGTCAACAATTTAATTTAGAAATGATCATTGAACATACCTAGTCAAGATAATATGTAATTACTTCACTGAAATGGTCTTGATATTGACATGCAGAACTTACTTCTGACTGTAGGATGAGAGAAGTTATTGTTAAGAAATCAGTAGCGGGGCTGAGGATATAGCTCTGTTGGTAGAGTGCTTTTCTCACATGCACAAGGCCCTGGGTTCAATCCCCAGCACCAAAAAAAAAAAAAAAAAAGAAAAGAAAAGAAATCAGTAGTAGCACTGGCCAGGCATCACTAGGCATGCTTATTATCCCAGCCAACTGGGATAAGGCAGGAGGATCATAAGTTCAAGGCCAGCCTGGGCAATTTATCAAGATCCTGTCTCAAAATAAAAAGAGCTAGGGGTGTAGCTTAGTGGTAGAGCACTTGCCTACCATATGTGAGGCCCTGGGTTCCATCCCCAGCACTGCAAAAACAAAGAAATTGGTAGCATCCTTCTGTATTTGCTATGGTTTTTTGATGTCTGTAACATTGAGTTGCAAGCAATATGTGGTCAAGGTTTTTCTCTAAGCTTAAAGATGTAATCATTTGAAAAGCCAGTCTTCAAATTGGGTAGAGCTTTTTCAGAACACGTTCCAAGGTATCTAAGCAATCACAGAGTAGAACTTGACTTGTTCTAACTGCCAGGACTGGATGGGTCTGTTCCTCTGTGGTGCTGCAGCCCAGCACAGACTGGGGACTTGGCTCCACTGCCCTCCCTTCTCTAGGCTTTTTAATATCAAAGAAGGGATGCCAGAGTCTCAGACACTGACAGCCCTTGAAGCCATAATTCATTCTGTGGTGTGAATGCAAGGTGTGTGTCAGGAATGGAAACTGGCTTGGCGATGCTGGCTCCCAGGTCTGCAGCCCTCTGTGCTGCCTCAGCTCATTCAGCTCACTGTGGGTTGGAACTGTCTGACTGTCTCCGAGCTTGCGCTACTTACCAATGCTCATTTCACCCCTCTCTTTTCCCTTTCCTACTCTTGCTTCCTTTGCTATATCTGTGTGTCTTTCATGGTAAGACTAAAGAAAGTCTATCCACGTTATAATAAATAAATTTCATATATTTTTAGTAAACCAAATTGTTGTATATATTCTTTGGCTGCCTTTGTCCCTCTGTGTCTTGCTTTTGTTTTGTAAAATATACTCAGCAGTGTATACATATTATATACACACACATTTCTTTTTTATATCTCTATTCAGCACAGGACTTCAGTGCAAATTTAGTTCTCCTTACTGTATTGCATTTCTCTTCATGTTTCTAATATTTGGTTCTTGTTATCTTGCATTTTTAAAGCTTGCCCAGTAACACTTTAAGGTATTTGCTTCATTACTGGAATTTATTTCTTATGTAAGTAGTAAGAAAAGAATCTGAGTGATGTGTTCCCTTGGGGGATGGGGGAGAGAAATTTTTGGCCCCTATAGCCCTTATTTTATATTGTGTTTATCTTCCCTTCTTGATAGCGTTAGTAATACCAAGCCATTCTGGCCAACATGGCTTAAACACAATACAATTTGCAACTCAGATGTAAGTAATGTTGGCATAAATGGTTTAATTCAGCTGCTCCTGGTGGGCACAGGGCTTAGCTGTGGCCTAGAGGCCAGCGATGGAGAGCTGCACAAAGACCAGCTGCCACGGGCTGCTTATGCTGTCACTTGGCAGAGCTTTCTTGGCTGTGCATCCTCTGGTAGCTTATACAGGAAATGCTCCTATGGCCCTTGTAGAAAACAACCTGTGGAGAGGTTGTGTGTATACATGACAGTGAGCACAGAGAAGGACACCTGTCCCTTTCTCTCCTGCCAGCTGGTGGCATTTATTCCTCTCCAAGGCTGAGTCCATGGGATCCTGACCAATCAGAGCTGAGTGTAGGAGGGTCTGTCCTTGGCAATCCCCAATCCTGATATTGAGCTCTGGAAATCATTTTTATAGTAGAATAAACTTCCAAATAAGTTTCATAGAAACTCAGCTCATTAACTCCCATGTTTTCAATTCTGCAAATATCTCAGTGAAGTTGGCAGAGGTATATTAAAATAGGTGGAAAATAATAATCGAGAATTTATATACATTATATTAGCATTAATATAATTATGTAATTAACCGTGTATAATATATTTGTTATGTAGTTATATATTATATACTATATTTAAATTTTTGTAGGTTCTATATCTGGGACCATGGGGCAAAAATGGGTTAAGGATATCATGATTTAATAGTCTTTGGGTGACATCACATACTTTACATAGCAAAAAGTGCCTGCACATTCTTTCCATTTAAATTGTTTTGTTTAAACCTAAACAAGACCCATTTGCTAGAAAGTTATTACTCAGTAACTAACAGTATGTCAATACTGACCTCTTTCCATTGTTTTTAATTCAAGAAACTTCCGTAAGTCTCAGATTCTTTTCTTACTACTTATCATTCTGAAGTGTAAGTGTAAGCCACACAAGAAGATAAATAAAACACTTATATTTTCATTGTTATGTAGAATTCAATTTGACATAAACCATGAGAATTCTGTGATTCGTGTGCCGGATATCTTGGGTCTCACTAACCAGACATACATTCTGCCATTTCTAACCTGGGCCTCTATTCCCTGCTCCTCCAGCTGGTTCAGAAATCAGACTGAACCATCACATACTCTGCACTTACCCAGCTGCTTCTGACAGAGGGAAGCTGTGATCTTGTTGTGAAAGTTAAGTTTTTTCTCTCAGATGACAGGCTGTGTAGCCCTAGGGCTTGCCTGGGACATCTCTCAGTTTTGTTTTCCCTAAAATACTTTTGTAAAACAAGGTCTTTCCCTCAGGTTTCACATTGCATGTGATTTTTTTTTTAGAACTTTTCATTTTAAACTAATTTTAGGTTAATGGAAGAGTTACAAAAAGGTAGTGTAGCCAATTCCCCATGCCCTCTCCCAGATGCCACATGTGAACATTTTATAGCTGTGACACATGTATCAAAACCAAGAAATTAACAAGGTATAGGACTGTTAGCCAGCCTCTCCCCTTCATTCATCTTTTCCTTTTTTTTCCCCTCTGCACCACTGGGGTTAAAGCCAGGGTCTGGCCTTGCTAGGCAAGTACACTTCCATTGAGCCAAGTCCCCACCCTCTCAGGCTGTCGGTCTTTTTTTTAGGTTCCAGGCTAGGAAACCCCACTGCATTTAGGTGTCCTGTCTCCTCAGGCTTCTCCAATCCAGTGATGGTCCCTCACTGATTCTCTGTCTTTCACGACCTCAGCACTTTTGCACACATGCAGTTTTTTCAACAAAGATTCACTCACACACCGGCCCCTCAGCACAACTCTGTGTCTTGCCCTCACCTTCCCTTTCCTCTTCCCCCTTCTCTGCCCACTGCCTGGATCCTCAGGTCCATGCTTCCCTCTCACTAAGGCCTGCCCTGCCCACTGCCTTGCTCTGACTCTCCCCTTCAGAATCCCCACGCCTCCATTCTGTCCCTGGAAAACTCTCCTGGTGTTTTCTGCTCTAGCCTTTAAGTGCGATTTAATTTCTATGAGCAACTCAGTGTTCTCTTCAGATTCTGTGGTTGAAAAGTCATGATCTAGCAGTTTGAATAGTGATAATCTTACTGCTGTTTTGGCCCACACGACCTTAAAAATACACTCTTGGAACTTGCTAAGAAGTTACTGAAATTAGTGAGAACCAACTGATACTTCCAGCATAAAACTGCTCTGCATGACATCTGTATAACTGCTTTGCATGTGTGTATTTTAGTTGTCATTGCTTGGTAATAATTGATTCCAGAAGTAACAAAAATCAACTTGGGGATTCTATTTTGGTATAATTTTTGGGGGTGGGGGAGTGCAACAATTTTTTTTTTTTTAATTCTACATCTTCCAAATTTATTAATTTGTCTTTTTAAGTTCAAATGGATACAATGATATGCAGATTCTGGCATGTCTATACATAGGTAAACTTTTTCTCCCCTCACAGTAAGTAAAATTTCAAATTTTGCAAGCATAAATAGCCTTATATATATTATTTATATTTTTACATCAACTAAAGTTATTTGCGTGCTTGCTCTAAAACTGTATGGTGATGACTCTCGGTTGATTTCTGGAACTTCTTTAACCCTTTGGTCTTTTAGAGAATCCAAGTACATAAAAGAGACAGATGAAGAGAAAGCTTCCTTACAGAAATCCATCAGTATTACTAGTGCTTTACTCACAGAGAAGGATGCAGAACTGGAAAAGCTGAGGAATGAGGTAGGGCACTCCGGGGGTCCTCCTGCATCTGCCCCCGCCTGCCCACCTCCCAGCTTCAGCTCAATCACTGTGTTGCAGGTCACAGTGCTCAGGGGAGAAAACGCTTCTGCCAAGTCCCTGCATTCGGTTGTTCAGACTCTAGAGTCTGATAAGGTGAAGCTCGAGCTCAAGGTAAAGAACTTGGAGCTTCAACTCAAAGAAAACAAGAGGCAGCTCGGCAGCTCCACAGGTAATACACCACCTTCCTGGTGCTCCTCCTCCCCTGCTGCCCCCACTGCCTGTCCCTGGTCTTCTTCTCTAATGTAAGGAAGCCAGTCACACCTGGCTCCCCACACACCAGGATGCCTGGCATTGCTGCTCCTGGGCCTTCCTGTAATCTGTGAGTACTGTCACACACTTAAGACAGGGCAACCACAGGGTCTGAAAGTACATGGCAGTAAAGGGCAGGGTTGGTCCCTTTGGAGGACGATGGACAGTGGAGGTGACATACATTCCCACCCAGTAGTGGCCAGTCTGGGAGAGAACCCTGGAAGTGGGAGGAGGGTCAGTCAGTGCTGAGGGACTGGGAACTTGCTCTGTGTTCTCTGAGGTGCATGGGGAAGTGCACGTGGAAATGAGTCTCCTACCCTGGCTCTTCACTACATAAGTAACAAGGAAAAAGATTGTAATGGTTTTTCTTAACCAGCCTCTGCTTGTTTTTTGTTTTTCACAATACAAGGTAATACTGACGCTCAGGCAGAAGAGGACGAGAGAGCCCAGGAGAGTCAGGTAACATTCTTCTTCACTGTTCTGTCGTCTTTGTCCTTTTCAGATTCATTTAATCTTTTGAATAGGTATTATGTTCCTGTGTTCCAAACAGTAAACAGTTCTAAAATGTGCATAGTAAAAAGTCTTCCTCCAAACCCTCTCTTCTGTTCAATTCCCAAATCCCTAAACAAGTGATTACTATTCCTAGTGTCTCACCTTTGCAGAGCTTTATAAAAATGTATAGCTGGACACAGTGTCAAGCACTTGTAGTCCCAATTAATCAGAGGCTGATGTGGGAGACTGCATAAGCCCAGGAGTTTGAGAGTAGCTTAAGAAAAATAACAGGACTCCATCTCCAACAACAACAAAATGCATATGCAAGTGAATACTAAAACAAAACCCCCAATTTGTATTTAAAAGTGAGGACTAGGGTTGTGGCGCAGTTGACATGACATGACATTTTGTATGTCTCTGACCCTTTAGGTCCGTTACCATAAATGATGCTATAAGGAATTATGTTGGACAGCTATCAGACTTAGACTAATTCACCCTGGGTTAGCACTGTCTGCTTTGTGTATGTCATAGGAGTGGCACATAATTAACACTGTTTTCTCCTCCCTCTTTTCTTTCTGCTTCCATTTGTTTCTGCTGCTGCTGACAACACTTTTCTTCCCATCAGCAAATGGTTTGTTTTCTGTTTCCTAATTTGTGTGTGCCTGTGCATGTGTGGTTTCCCACTATACTTATGTCCAGTCTGTAGCTTTTTCTTCTTCCTGATATGGAGGTCCTAATGGAAATGACTTAGAAAATGCACTTTGAGAAATGAAAAATAGACTCAGCACATCCGCTTTCTAAGGTGGCCTTGCTGAAGCTGGAATAAAATGCTGAGAAAGACCGGGCTGATTGCTCATAACCCTCCCAGCAGGAGAATAAGACCAAATATTTCTTCAAAGTAGTTGGGTGCGGTGTTACAAACCGTAATCCAGAGGCTAAGGAGGAGGATTGCAAGTTTAAAGTTAGCCTCAGCAACTCAGCAAGGCTCTGTCTCAAAAAATAAAAAGGGCTGGGGATGTGGCTCAGTGGTTAAGTGTCCTTGGGTCCCATCCCTGATACAAAAAAAAAACAAACAAAAAACCCCCCACAAAATGTGTGCGTGTATGTATGTGTGTGTACATATTTTTAATATTATAAACTGGGATCTTTTCAATTTAAAGAAAGGATATCTTTCACTATTTGAAGAACCCTTTGGGTTTTAAATTGCTCTTGGCTTGAACGGAAGAGTTAGGATGAGAGTTTCCTTCTGGTGGTCATCTTGTCTTTGCCGCTCAGGGACCCTCAGCATAGGTCCCCTTCTAGGATGTGGTTCCCAAACATTGCTGTGTTAGCATGTGCCTATCTCTCCTCAGTAGGAAGGGAGTCTTGCTGTCCCCTTCACAGCCCTCCATGTTCCCTACTGTCATTATCAATGGTTAATGGCTGTCTTAAGAGAAAATCCAGGGGCTGGGGATGTGGCTCAAGCGGTAGCGCCCTCGCCTGGCATGCATGCGACCCGGGTTCGATCCTCAACACCGAAAACTAAACAATATTTTTTTAAAAAAAGAGAAAATCCATATAAGCCTTCCAGAACAATCCCGAATGGGTTCTAGAATTTAATGAAAGAACTTTGTGTTTTGTAAAATCTGTATATATATATTTGTGTAGTAGAAGGAAAAATTAAAACTCATGCCCATGTATCTACAAATCTAAGATTATGCTTTTGAATGATGCAAGTTTGTATTTTTCCCCTATGTAAAAATCAATCAATAGCATTCCACAACCCTCAGATTTAGCTATTTAAGTATAATTTTATTTGCCTCAATGACAAGTGAAGCTTATGCATTCACAATGGGAAATATTCAATGAGACTTGATTTAAAGTATTTTTCAATATAAAATACTTAGTAACATTTGAAGAGTGTTGAGAGATAGAAAGGGGAAAAAGGAAACCACCTTAGCCCTACCACCTAGCCATATGGCCTCATTTAAATTCAGCTATTTGTCAAAGAATCTCATTACTTCTGTTCCTGGGGGGCTTGAACAACATGGGTCCAGTGACAGGCACTGTGGCCCCTTATGTGACATCTGCATACTTCTTGGTACTGCAGCTTGTGCACGTTAGACATGTTACCCACCTCACTGTTTCTTTTCTTTTTTGACAAATCAGATTGACTTCCTAAATTCAGTAATAGTGGACCTTCAAAGAAAGAATCAAGACCTCAAAATGAAGGTGGAGATGATGTCAGAAGCAGCTCTTAATGGCAATGGGGACGACCTGAACACCTATGACAGGTATTTCGTAGTGAGTCATACTGACTAGAACCTCAGGGCATCAGGATAAATGTGTTTTTAAAGTTCAGCTCTTCAGGGGGTTGTCAAACAACCAGAAAGGTACAGTTGCTCTGCAGTTACTTTGCCATAAATGGGTTGCCATAAATCCGGCAAAGAGAGAGGTTACAAATGGTCTGATTTGGCATTTTTAAAATATGGAATGTATTACTTTACCTGAAGGCTCAGAGTTGGCCATAATTAGTTCTTACTTATTTTAAAAATTCTTTACATGACATGTTTTCTCTTGAATTTCTTATGATAAAATCTCTGATTTTATACGTTGACATTTGTAGTGATGACCAGGAGAAACAGACCAAGAAAAAGCCCCGCCTCTTCTGTGATATCTGTGACTGCTTCGATCTCCATGACACAGAGGACTGTCCCACCCAGGCACAGATGTCCGAGGACCCACCCCATTCCACACATCATGGCAGTCGGAGTGAGGAGCGGCCTTACTGTGAGATCTGTGAGATGTTTGGGCACTGGGCGACCAACTGCAACGATGACGAGACCTTCTGATGGCGGTGGCGTGCACCACGGGCCCTCAGAGGCACTCGCATTTCAGCAACTGAACACCAGCACTGCGTGCGCAGACTTCAGGAGAACTCATGTTATTTTTGACCCCCTGTCAAGAAATCTAAGAAAATATTTTGGTCTTCAACAAATCATCTTTTAGTCTCCCCTTATAAGTTAGAATAATAAATATTAGTAGGTGAGAGTTCACCTCTAATTTTGTTTTCCTGATTTTTCAGTTTTAAGACTGCACCAGATGCCATTACATTTATTGTTCTACAGAGACGTCTAGAACAAGCCCTTCCCTTACCTTATTTAAGAAACTTTAAATTATGCTGTTACTCTTCATATTTGCACTAAATATTTCTGGGCTGCATTTGTATATTTAGGTTTTTGGGGATTTTTTTTGGTTAAGCATTGACACTGGAATGAGTTAAAAGATGTACCATTTTGCATTTTCATTTACTCTAAATTTAAAGTATTTTATAATATCTGAGCTCTTTGCACTACCTGTTGTCAGTAGTGCCTTTTTTGTAGGCTGGACAATACTGGGTGTGATTATAAATCATGAAACAGGTAGAAGGAGGGGAAAGCCCCCAAACTGCTGTGGGGACATTTTATAATCTATATGCTGCATCCACTTACTCAACTGTGGTGTTTTCTTTCTTGGTTTTACATAATTTTTTGCTTATATATATATATATATATATATCATATGTATATATTTTTCGAGAAAATCTATATTTTGGGGAAAAACACAATGTTTTTTCTGTTCAGATTTTTACCTTTATGAAAAATAAAACACTTGTAAAATCATCAGGATGTAACAGACTAGGCCAAAAATAGCATCTTGCAGCTTCACAGTTATTTTATCTTCTGTTTTCATTTTGGTTCTTTACCAGATCTAAATAGATGGAAGAATTTCTTGTAATTATTTTTTCTTCTCTAGCAAATATCCCCAGCAGTGAATTATCAAGCCACTGTAAAATGCCTAAATTAACCAATCTACAGTCTTCCTTTACAAGATTTTTAACTGTTCTTAGATGAATGTATGATGAGAAATTCAACATTAATAATTTTGAATTTTCTGATCACAAAATAATAAAGTGAAGGACCTCAACCTCCAGAATAGTTTATCAACCAGTCTGAATCTATTTATCTTCAGTTGAATGTCTTCTAGAATATGTAAAATGTAATAATATGTATCTTTCATGCTACATGTATAATAAGAAATTCTATAATTGTATATATGCCTTTGATGTATTTTCCCCTAAGATTATCAATTGTGTTTGACAAGTGAATATTAAATATGTTAGCAGTGGAAATTTTTGGTTAATATAATAGGAATTGTTTCACAAAAAGAAAACATGTAAAGCAGTATTAAAATTTGAGCATACAAGTGTTCTGTATCTTCTTTAATAAATTCTTTTTTTGGCCGGTGTTAGTAATTTCACATTATTCTCACATTTGTCATATGGTTTTTCTTCAAATGAAAAAGCCCTATAGATCCTAATAGCGATTTTTTTCCTTCCATCCTCTCTGTCCTGGGGATGGAACCCAGGGCCTTATGCATGTTTCACATGCACTTTACCACCAGCCTACACGCCTACCCCCCAAACAGCAATTTCTACTATAGTCTTGTTGCCAAACACCAGTTAAGAAATTGGCCCTGGAAGCACCAAGGGCAGTGTTGGCTGCTGCTAAGAAAATACCAGCTGCAGCTTTCTGAGGTTGACTGTATCTGGAGAGTGCTTGTGAATATTAACTGAATCTGAGGATTTTTAAAAGTGGAAAGATATGAGGCATTTGTAGGCCTTGATCTATAAAATGCTGTTCTCCAGTGTTGCTCAGAAAATTGTTTTGCCTTGTGGATTGTCAGATTACATTGTGGATTCCAAGAATTGAGGAGAGAGTACAAAGATTGGAAACTGAAATGACTTCTCTCCAGTTCTTCCAAGGATAATGTCCTAAAGGATTGTGGAATCACGTGCCAGAATCCTGGACCCTAGAGTGAATTCATGAAATGGCTACTCCACAAATTGAGGCTGTTCACCTCACAACATGAGAAACAAAAAGTTTTTTTTTTTTTCCTTAAAAAAATAAATTGGGCCAGGCACAGTGGCTGGCGCCTATAATTCCATCTACTAGGGGAACTGAGGTAAGAGGATGTAACTCCTTGGTACAGCACCCCCGAGTTTAATCCTCTGTACCAAAAAAGAAAAAAAAATAAACTGGTATGCCTTTCTTCGAGTGTTTTGTGACTCACTTGGCAAAAAGTAATCATCTGTGGTTTTACCCACTGCTGTATCACATTGTATTATCTGCCAAAAATATAAGTGTCGTCATTAGCACCATATAGTACCATTTTTATTTTTATTTATTTATTTATTTTTTAAAGAGAGGGAGAATTTTAATGTTTATTTCTTTTAGTTATTGGCAGACACAACATCTTTGTTTGTATGTGGTGCTGAGGATCAAACCCGGGCCACACGCATGCCAGGCAAGAGCGCTACCACCTGAGCCACATCCCCAGCCCCAAGTACTATTTTTATTAATCCATGATGGGTTTTAGAAAGAAACTCAAACGTTGATTGGGTATTTACAAAACTGATTACTGAACCAACTGCTAGTTTTTTGAACATCCAGTTTATGAACAGTTATTAACAAATAGCTATTTCCAAAACACTACTTGAGGAAAAGCATTACTCTTACCTAAATAATCTACAATAATAGTTCTCAACTTTGATATTGACCTGAGGTGATTAAAAGGTACACTCTCACTGTGCTTCTTACTCTTACATATGTATATATTTATACATACACACAATCTTTTAACATACAAGTAGTATGTATGGGGAAATAAAGTACCTATTATTAATCTACTGGCATCCTGATCCTGCTTAGGGGGACAGTTTACCATACTGGTTCTCCTCAGTTAGTTACACTCATGAATGCCTGGGCATTTTACTGCTTAGAGTAAACTGTACCCTCATTTTTAAATAGCTCATGACATGGCCTGCTGAGCTCAACATTATCACAGGCGTTAATATGAGACATTCTCAGTTAAAGAGAAAAATGGCCTGGGGAGAAATGGCATGAGGAACTTATGAGGAACTTTAGGACCTTAGTTGTTTCCTTTCTACTTTTTAAATTTTTATTTGTGTGTGTGTGTGGGGGGGGTACTGAGGATTGAACCTAGGGCTTCATGCATGCTAGGCAAGTGCTCTACCACTGAGCTAAGTCCCCAGCTCACTACCTTTTATCTTCCATCCTACCTCAAAATGACCCGTATCTGCCTCAAAGTATGGAAAAATAATTTATTGAGCAGTTAAGTTTCAGGCACCGAGCTCATCCTTTTACGTAGGTTACAAGATGTAATTTACATCCTCTTTCGTCTTCACAACTCGGGGATTTTGCTGTTAAGTCAGCCGGGTTTTGACAGTATTCCTGTGAAATACCATCTTGCCTATTAGTCCACCAGTGAGACCAAGCTGGGATTATAACCGTGGTCCAGTTTGCCCGGCAGACCTTCGGATTTTTATAATTTAAAAAGATTTGCATACAAATTTAGCTTCAAATTACCATTACACAGCAAGTATTCCTGGTGGTGATTTTTAAAAGAGTCAAATGAGATCAATTTCCAACCTTCCAACGTCCCTTTTCAAGGCCGGACGACTCCAGGACCGAGGTAGGGTCCGAAGAAGCAGAGAGGGAAAGGAAAGAGTTGGACTCTAGGACCCGACTGGAGAGGAGCGCATCCGGCCGACTCCGGCTTCCGGGTTTGGCCTGCGTCAGCGGCTTTGATCACGTGCACGTACGGCCACGTGACCGTGGGCCGGGGGTGGAGAACTGTGGACGCGGTGGGGCTGAGGGAAAGGGGTGGGGGCAAGATGGCGGCGCACCTGTCCTACGGACGAGTGAACCTGAACGTGCTGCGCGAGGCAGTGCGTCGCGAGCTGCGCGAGTTCCTGGACAAGTGCGCGGGAAGCAAGGTGAGGAGCCGGAGGCTGCGACACCTCCATCTCCTCCCGTGGCTGGCCCGGCTTTGTCCGGTCCCCGACCTCCTAAGCTCGAGGTGTAGGAGGTCCCCTGAGTCTTCCAAGGGGGCGAACTTTGGGCCCTCTCCCTGCGTCCAGGTGCAGGCGGCAACGACGAGGCTGGGAGGGCCTGGGCACCCAACCTGGAGATGGCGTGGTCCCGTGACGGCAGGATAAGCCACGGTGATAGGCAGCCCAGCGCCTGGAGAGCGCTTGAAGTTGGGCTCGGGGTGCAATGGCTCAGTGTCCACTCGTTTCAGCGACCGCAAGTGTCAGTTCAGATAGTACCTTCGCAAGTCTCTGAAGCACCGACGCCTTGCAACCTGCTCGCACCCATCATGAGAGATGATGTCATTTTAACTTTGCTTTCTTAAAATAGGATTCTCTCTCCTTCTGAGCACTCACCTCAGAAGGGAGTCAGACACTGTAGACCAGAAACATTGTCCTGATCCGCACTGTTCTCCCCTTAGCATTTGTCCGTTTCCTTGAGTAACCACTCTTTCCTTAGAACTGAGGAAGCTCAGAAACCAGTGTTGGAGAGAATAGAACTCCAAGAGGTAGAGTGCTGGCTGGCAACCCTTGAGAGAAGAAAGCAGGCTGAATCACAGGGCCCTTGTTTAAATTCAGCAGATGATGCTGGAATCTGAATCTGATCGTAGATTGTGTCAATGACAGTATACTGAAATGTAATATTATACTATAGTTTTGCATAAAGTTACTTGTTACTACCAGAGGAAAACAGGCAAAGTGCACAGTGATTGTCATATTTCTTACAAGTAGACAATGTACAATTATGTAAATAAAAACTTAAACTAAAAAAGAAAGAAATGAAGCTGGAGTTTAGTGGTAGAAATACTCACATGGGTCCCAGAACAATGACTTATGGTGTCAAAAAGTCCTAGGTTGCAGTCTTGACTTCTTTGTGCTATAGGTATCCAAGTTGCTTATATGGCCTTGGATAGTTACGTAAACTCTTAAACTTTTAAAATTTTCCTCTTCTGCCCAAATAAGATTTGTAATGCTTATATCATAGGTTTTAGGTCTGTATAATTGGAATTTCTGTATAGTTCAATTTAATAAAAACACAATTTAGATATAAAGGTTCTATAGCTCCTTCTTTCTGTTGAGGACAGTAATTAGCTCTTTAATTTCTCTGTGACCCACACTAGCATCATATGCCATTTTCATTTAGATTGTTAGGCTATGAATGTGATCAGAGCCAATTAAATTTTTTATTTTATGTACTGGAAGTTGAACCCAGGGCCTCCCATATTCTGTGCAAGTGCTCTACCATTGAGCTGTGTTCTTGGCCTTTTTAAAATTTTTAATTTTTTAGCTGGGTGTAGTGGCACACGCCTGTAATCCTAGCAACTTGGGAGGCTGAGGCAGGAGGATCACAAGTTCAAAACCAGTCTCAACAATTTAGAGAAGCCCTAAGCAACTTAGTGAGACCCTACCTCAAAATTAAAAAAGGGTTCAGTGGTTAAGCATCCCTGGGTTCACTCATCAGTACCAGAAAAAATAATAATAATTTTTAGAAAATTTCTCACAAAGTAGCCCAGGCTAGCTTTGAACTTGCAGTCCTCCTGCTTTAGCCTCCAGAGTAGATGGGATTACAGGCATGTGCTATCATATTTGGTGATCCAATTAAAAATTTTAACTCTCAAGTTTGAAGAACTATTCCTACTGTATATGACTGCTATTTTCTGTTGATATTGTTGAAATTGAGATTATCTGTAATAAGAGACAATTTCTCTCCATTTCAGGCAATAGTTTGGGATGAGTACCTAACAGGACCCTTTGGTCTGATTGCACAGTATTCACTACTGAAGGTAAATGAGCTAATGGGTTTTGTTATTGGATTAATAATTCTGAATTTTAGCAATAATAACACATATGATTTTACATTTCTTCATGAGTGACTGGCTTGCAAACAATTGGATCTATAAACACTGATATACTAACATTTTGGTTAGTATGGTTAACATTTTGTGTGCAATGCTCTGTGCATGATATAAGGTAACCATTACTTGGTGTTTTCAATAGTTTGTTGTGTTAGTCATTTGAATGCTGATAATATAGTGTGGCTTCATACTGAAACTTCATCCTTTATGTATTTGGCTGTGGGGGACCTAAATTTTGATGGTAAATCATTACCATGCATTATATTAGGAGTATATATGATTTCTGAGTCTGGAAATGATAGATAAATTTCAGGGATTGTGTTAACCTTTTGTGTATGTGTTTTTCTAGGAACATGAAGTGGAAAAAATGTTTACACTTAAAGGAAGTCGTTTGCCAGCAGCAGATGTCAAGAATATTATATTTTTTGTCAGACCCAGGCTAGAATTGATGGATATAATTGCTGAAAATGTGCTCAGGTATCTCAGAGCTTTTGTTTGGTCAAAAGAGGTTTGGTCCTTAAAATACTTTTCTTTTTTAAAAAATAGCTTTATTTTATTTATTTTTTTAATGTGGTACTGAGGATCAAATCCAGTGCTTCACATGCTAAGCGAGCTCTCTACCACTGAACCACAACCCCAGCCCTTTACAATGTTTTTGTTTGTTTTAATATTTTTTAGTTATACATGGACACAGTATCTTTATTTTGTTTATTTTTATGTGGTACTGAGGATCGAACCCAGTGCCTCACATGTGCAAGGCAAGCACTCTGCCACTAAGCCACAACCCTAGCCCTTTACAATTGTTTTTATGTACTGAGCTCCTTGTCATTACAAACCCCCACCTTTGCCAGTGCACTAGAAGGTGGTCTTTTGGAAAACTAGAACAGGCACGGAAGTCTAATGGTTAAAATTTTCCAATATACTGAATGTAATGTGGTTGAATTTCATAAGCAAAATAAGAGCTGATTAAAATTTAACATGGATCCAGTCTATAGAGGAAGTCATCTTGCATAGTCTGCACTCTGTGGAACAATTGATGGCTGCAACCCCTAAAATCTTAAAAGCATATGTGCTATTTTTGGAAGTCCATTGTCAAGGAGAATAGAAGGTGGGAATCAAGAGTGATATCTCATCTTAATATCAGACTGTTGTTGCACTGGTTTTGTTAAAGAACCATTTGTTTTTAGTAAGGTATAGATATCCTGTTTTAATAAACCTGAGAGCTTTGATGCCCCATAAATGATTTAAAAGAATTCTAGAAAATATACCACAAAGAAATAGCCGTGATTCAATGCTGCTTTCCTGTTTGGGAGTTGAAAAAGAGAAAACATAGAACTCTGAACAATTTGGATCTGTGAGTTAGTATTCTTACATTTATCTAACCAGTGTTTATTTACTGCCCATGTTGTGCCAGGCAAAGGGGTCAAAATAAGCAATATAGTCTCTGACCCTAAGAGCTCATAAGCTAATAGATATTACTTCCTTTGCAGTGAAGACAGACGTGGCCCAGTGAGAGATTTCCACATTTTGTTTGTGCCCCGTCGTAGCTTGCTGTGTGAACAGCGGTTGAAGGACCTTGGTGTTTTGGGATCCTTTATCCACAGAGAGGAGTACAGTTTAGATCTCATTCCATTTGATGGAGATCTCTTGTCCATGGAATCAGAGGGTGCATTCAAAGTAAGTTTGGGCTTTCCCTGACATCAGACTTGAATTTTTGCCAAATTTATGAGCATGCAAGTGCCACAAGACAGTTTTAATTTGCACTCCATGATTAGTGTGAAGCTGAGGCTTGTTGCATATTTATTGATGTTCAAGATCTTTTCTTTTTCTTTTTTTTTTTAAAAGATATTTGGGAAAGACCCCCTTAAAGGGTTCCATCCACTCTTTTTATTTTTAATATTTAGTTTTTTTAGTTGTAACTGGACACAATACCTTTATTTTACTTATTTATTTTTATGTGGTGCTGAGGATCGAACCCAGGGCCTCCAATGTGCTAGGCAAGCACTCTACCGCTGAGCCACAATCCCAGCCCCTGTTCAAGATCTTTTCTTTGGCAAATTGCTTTTTCATTTTCTTGGCTCATTGCTTATTTTTTTAGGAGTCCTTTTTATATTCTGTATACTCATTATTGTGGTTTATAAAAGCTGCAAGTATATTCTCCTAGTCTGTGGGTTGTCTTTTAATCTTGTTATAATGCTTTTTATAATGTAAACATTTTCTGCTGGGTGTAGTGGGTCATTCTTGTAAATCCCAGCTACTTTATTTGGGATGCTGAGACAAGAGGAACACAAGTTCAAATCCGGCCTCAGTAATGCAGTGAGGCCCCAAGCAACTTAATGAGACCCTGTCTCAAAATAAAAAGGGCTCGGAATGTGGCTTAGTGCCCCTGGCTTCAATCCCCAGTACCAAAGTAATAATAATGATGATGATGTAGTTAACATTTCTCATTATAAATAATTAAAATTTTAATAGATTTACTTACTATAATTTACATACCATAAAATTCATCCCTTTAAAAGATGCAGTTTAGAGTTTTGCAACTATCACTACACTCTAATTTTGGAACATTTTAATCATCTGCAAAAGACATCCCACACCCATTAGCAGTCATTCTCTTATCATTCCTTCCTTCAGCCACTGGAAACCACTAATCTATTTTATCTGTATGGATTGGCCTATTCTGGAGATGATCTATTCTGGTCATATGGCAACTGTGTTTAATACTTTGAGAAATTCCAAACTCTTGCCTAATAGTGCTGCCATTTCATATTCCCACTAGCAGCAGCTGCACCTTCTCCCTGACACTGTCATTGTTCGTCTTTTCCAACTGGGTATGAGTGGTTTTTCGTTGTGATTTTACTTTACATTTCTGTGATGACAAATGATGTCGATTATCTTTTCATATGCTTATTGGACATTTATATGTCATCTATTGGAGAAATGTCTTTTTATGTCACTTGCCCACTTTGTGTTATTTATCTGTTTTTAACACAAAGTTATAAGAATTTTTTGGGGGTGGCGGGGATCTCCCACTGTACAAAGGGTGTTCTACCACTGAACTACATCCCCAGCCATTTTTACTTTTTTGAGACAGGGTCTTGCTGAGTTACTGAGACTGACCTTGAACTTATGATCCTCTTGCCTCAACCTTCTGAGACACAGGAAGTAATATGTGTGCCATTGCACCTAGCAAGAATTCTTATTGTATTCTAGATACAAATCTCTTATCAGATACAGGATTTTCAAATATTTTCCTCCATTTTGTGGCTTCTTTTCACTTTCTTAGTGAAAGTGGGATCCTTTAATGCACAAATATTTTTAATTTTGATAAAATCCAATTTCTTTTTTTCTTCTTTTACTTGTGCTTTTGGTATCAAATTCATGAAACTGTTGCCTAACCCAGCCACAAAGATTCATACTAGTGTTTCCTTCTAAGTGTTTTGTAGCTTTACTTTTTACATGTAGATCTTCGACCCATTTTAAATTAATTTTGTGTATAATGTAAGAGAGAGGGGTCTAACTTTTTTTTTTTTTTAACATGGGGATATCCATTTGTTCCAATACAATTTGTTGAAAAGACTTTGTTTTCCTCTTTGAATTGTCTTGTTACCTTTGCAAAAACTCAGTTGTCCATAAGTATAAGAGTGTGCTTATTTCTGGTCTCTCGATTCTGGTCCTTTGGTTGATCTGTCTGTCTTCCTGCCTGCAACAGTCTTGATTACTATGGCTTTGCCGTAAGTCTGAAATGAGGAAGTATATGAGTTCTTCAACCAAAGCACTTAAATCTCTCACTTTTTTTTTTTGCTTTGCTTTGCTCTTTTTGAATCTGAATAAATCCTTTACTCTGAAAACACAGAAAATCTTTCATTTTCTTTTAAAAGTTTTGAGTTCTCCTCTTCACAGGTCTTGAATCTGACTTGGGTTTGTGTGTGTGCTGTGTGGTGGATGGTGTTGGCGTGTTTTCTTTCAGGTGGACAGCCACTGGCCCAGCACTGCTGGTGCCCACTGATTATTTTCTAGCATAGGTTTTTCAGTAAATGTACATATCTTTTCTCTCTGGTTCTGCAAGTCTTTTTGCCAGTGTGTTTTATGTATTTATTTGCCACTTTTCTTCCAATAAACACATTCTCTCATAAGAATATTACTTTATCTTTTAAAAAATAATTTGAAAATGTTTTGTAAACATAATCCATGCTCATGGTAGAATTTCTTTGAGTCAGAAAGGTCATAGGGTGAAGAGTAAGCCACTCTCCACCCCAGTTCTCAGACTGCCTAGTTGTTTCCAGAAACAATCCCTATTCCTAACTCTTTCTTTGTGTGTGTATGTATGTGTGTATTTTCTTTTTTTTTTTTTCTTTTTCTTTTTTTTGGGGGAAGGGTACCAAGGATTGAACCCAGGGTTACTTAACCATTGAGCCACATCCCCAGCCCTTTTTTATTTTTGGACAGGTTTTTGCAAAGTTACTTAGCACCTTGCTGAGTTGGTAAGGCTGGCCTTGAAGTTGTAATACTTTGCCTCGGACTCCTGAATCATTAAGATTAAGGATGTGTGCCATCACACCGGGATGTGTTTTGGTGTGTGTTTAACTCTTTTTTTCTCTAGGTGCTTTATGCATCTGCAGCTCTCAGCATGTATAGTATTCTCATTTTTAAACACATGGTTGTATATACACACATACACATACACATTTTGATATCTTACTTTTTTAATATTTTTTGTTGTTGATAGACCTTTATCTTATTTATTTAGATATGATGCTGAGAATCAAACCCAGTGCCTCACACATGTCAGGCAAGTGTGCTATCACTGAGCACCAGCCCCAGCCCTTGATATATAGCTTTTAATAAGACATTTGGGAGTCATTTTCTGCCATTTATGAAAGTGCTGCTGTGTTTGTAGTTGAAGCTGTATTGTGTTCTATTATTTGAATGTACCATGATTTATTGAGCCAGTCTACTTTTGAAGCATCTAACACTATTAGGTGGCCTTGTGCATGGGGAGCTCTTGCTCTGTAAGCCATCCAGGATGTCTTCTGCCCTTGCCATTTTGTCTTTCTTTTTTTTTTTTTCCCCTTGAGGTTTTGGAGATCTCATCCAGGGCCTTGTACCTGGTTGCTAAGCACTTTACCACTGAGCTACATCCCCAGCCCATTTTTTAAAAAAAATTATATTTTGATACAGGGTCTTTTTTTTTAACCATTTTTTAAAAATTATTTATTTATTCAAATTTGTTTTATATGACAGCAGAATGCATTTCAATTCATAGTACACATATAGAGCACAACTTTTCATGTCTCTGGTTGTACACAAAGTGGATAGAGTCACATACATGTCTTCATACACGTACTTGGGGTAATGATGTCCATCTCATTCCACCATCTCTCCTATCCCCTCTCTTTCCCTCCCTCCCCTTTGCCCTATCTAAAGTTCCTCCATTCCTCCCATGCTTTCCCCACCATCCCCATTATGGATCTGCATCCTCAAATCAGAGAAAACACGTGGCATTTGTTTTTTTGGGATTGGCTAACTTCACTTAGCATAATATTCTCCAACTCTATCCGTTTATCTGCAAATGCCATGATTTTATTTTCTTTTAATACTGAGTAATATTTCATTGTGTATATATACGACAGTTTCTTTACACATTCATCTACTGAAGGGCATCTAGATTGGTTCCACAATTTAGGTATTATGAATTGAGCTGCTGTAAACATTGATGTGGCTGCTTTACTATAGTATGCTGTTTTTAAGTCCTTTGAGTATAAACCAAGGAGTGGGATAGCTGGGTCAAATGGTGGTTTCTTTCAAAGTTTTCCAAGGAATCTCCATATTGCTTTCCAATTTGCAGTCCCACCAGCAATGTATGAGTGTGCCTTTCTCCTCACATCCTTGCCAACACTTATTGTTGTTTGTATTCTTTTTTTTTTAATATTTATTTTTTAGTTGTAGTTGGACACAATACCTTTATTTTGTTTATTTGTTTTTATGTGGTGCTGAGGATCCAACCCAGGGTATCTCACATGCTAGGTGAGCACTCTACCACTGAGCAACAACCCCAGCCCCTGTTTGTATTCTTTTTTTTTTTTTTTAAAGAGAGAGTGAGAGAGGAGAGAGAGATAGAGAGAGAATTTTTAATATTTATTTATTTATTTATTTTTTTAGTTCTCGGCGGACACAACATCTTTGTTGGTATGTGGTGCTGAGGATTGAACCCGGGCCACACGCATGCCAGGCGAGCACACTACCGCTTGAGCCACATCCCCAGCCCCTGTTTGTATTCTTAATAGCTGCTATTCTAACTGGAGTGAGATGAAATCTTAGAGTAGTTTTTATTTGCATTTCTCTAATTGCTAGAGATGTCGAACATTTTTTTATATATTTGTTGATTGATTGTATATCATCTTCTGAGAAGTGTCTCTTCAGTTCATTGGCCCATTTATTGATTGGGTTATTTGTTTTTTTGGTGTTAAGGTTTTTGAGTTCTTTATATATTCTAGAGATGAGTGCTCTGATGTGCGTGTGGTAAAAATTTGCTCCCATTTTGTAGGCTCTCTATTCACCTCACTGATTGTTTCTTTTGCTGAGAAGAAGCTCTTTAGTTTGAATTCATTCCATTTATTGATTCTTGATTTTATTTCTTGTGCTTTAGGAGTCTCATTAAGAAAGTTGGGACCTAATCCAACATGATGAAGATTTGGGCCTACTTTTTCTTCTATTAGGCACAGGGTCTCTGGTTTAATTCGACCCACTTTGAGTTGAGTTTTGTGCATGGTGAGAGATATGGGCTTAATTTCATTTTGTTGCATATGGATTTCCAGTTTTCCCAGCACCATTTGTTGAAGAGGCTATCCTTTCTCCAATATATATTTTTGGTGCCTTTGTCTAAAATGAGATAACTATATTTGTGTGGGTTTGTCTCTGTGTCCTCTATTCTGTACCCTTGGTCTATAAGTCTATTTTGGTGCCAATACCATGCTGTTTTTGTTACTGTTGCTCTGTAGTATAGTTTAAGGTCTGGTATAGTGATGCCACCTGCTTCACTCTTCTTGCTAAGGATTGCTTTAGCTATTCTGGGTCTCTTATTTTTTTGTTGTTGTATTTTTTTAATATTTTTATTTTATTTATTTATATGAGGTGCTGAGGATCAAATCCAGTGCCTCACACATGGATAGGCAAGCACTCTACCACTAAGCTACAGCCCCAGCCCTTGATACAGGGTCTTGATAAGTCACCCAGGCTGGCTTCAAACTTTTAGTCCTCCTGCCTCAGCCTCCTAAATAGCTGGAATTACAGGCATGAGCCACCTGGCTGCTATTTGTCTTTCGACTTTGTTTATAGAGCATGCAATATATGGAAATGGGTTTGTTTTTTGTTTTGTTTTCTTTTGTTTTTTTTTGGTTGTAGGTAGACAAATATCTTTACTTTGTTTATTTTTATGAGGTCCTGAAGATCAAACCCAGTACCTCACAAGTGTGAGGCAAACTGCTGTTTAGCCCCAGCCCCAGCCCTGGAACTGGTTTTATTGTCCCTTGCTGAACCCTAACACTGGAACAGAGGCAGGCACCTGGCTGGCCCCTGGGAAAAGACTGACCCATAGTAACTGGTCTTTCTTCCCCACAGGAGTGCTACCTAGAGGGTGACCAGACAAGCCTGTATCAGGCTGGGTTTTGCTATATTTTTAATGTAATCACATTTATCCACATTTCCATCTTCAATTTATGGTTTTCTGCTGCTGTTGCTACTTCTGCTGGTCTTGAACTTAGAACCCTTGAGAACCATATATGCAATACATAGAATTCTTTGAAATGTTTTTTCCCCTATATATTGCCCTGGTGGTTATGACCCTTAAAGGGTTCATTTAGGGCAGAGAATAATTTTATACCAGGAAAGCTTCTGGGTTCTTTTTTACTATGTTCCCTTAGGTATACTTAACACTGAATCTCATCCAGTGATGGGACGTTTTTTCTATAACCTACATGTTACAGGAAAAAATTTAGATATACAGAATAGTTGAATTGTTCACTGAATGCTCATATACCCCCTCACTTAGATTCCAGAAACAGCATTCTGCTGTGTGTGCTTTAGCATATGTCTGTGACAGTTAACCTGTAGTAATTCATTCACATTCATGTAATTAATGGGAATTGGGAACAGCCAGGAAAAATTTGCTCTGGCATGACAAAACCTGGGCCAAGAAATATTTACTGACAATTTGCAAAAGATGGCAGTTATTTTCTTTTGAGAAACTGGTCACTTCCCCCACTTCCCAAAGATGGTTTCGTGTGTATTTGGAAAGGGGGTGCTTTTCTCAATGCAAAATATATATTGTACATGCATGTCTATTCATGAATGATATATACGGAAAGTATGTGTATATATTTTTGCATACTTCATATGTACACAGTACACACATATGTATGTCATGTTTTGCATGCTCTACAAAGCATACTTTATGTCTTTGATAAAGTAAAACATATTTTCTGTGAGATCATACTCAAGGTCTTTCAGCTCACTCTTTTTATATGTCAAGATATGGAGGTTAATGAATGTGAAAATCTGTCCCATCCTTTGTAAAAGCAGCATAGAATTCTCTTGCATTTCATGTGTGATTTTGAGGGTGATTCCCATAGAACGTGGGGCCCTCCCAGAACGTCCTACTGGAGTTGACGTTCACTAGTGAGGGAGGGAACTCGTCCCCCAGATACATTCTTACTCATTAGTCTCTTAATAGAAGAGCTGATCAATAAAGAAGAGCTGCAGGCAGGGCTCACACCTCTCTTCCAGGAGCCGCACCTGTGCCTGAGAAAGCTGCTCCACAGGTGCCCCCTTCCAGAGGGCTGTTGGCCTCAGGGACAAGGCCGCCACATGGCAGCTTTGCAATGCTGGCTGGAACACTGGAAGAGCATGCAATATATGGAAATGGGTTTGTTTTTGTTTTGTTTTTTTGGTTGTAGGTAGACAAATATCTTTACTTTGTTTATTTATTTTTATGTGGTCCTGAAGATCAAACCCAGTGCCTCACAAGTGTGAGGCAAACTGCTGTACTGCTGAGCCCCAGCCCCAGCCCTGGAACTGGTTTTATTGTCCCTTGCTGAACCCTAACACTGGAACAGAGGCAGGCACCTGGCTGGCCCCTGGGAAAAGACTGACCCATAGTAACTGGCCTTTCTTCCCCATAGGAGTGCTACCTAGAGGGTGACCAGACAAGCCTGTATCATGCTGCGAAGGGACTGATGACCCTGCAAGCTCTATATGGAACAATCCCCCAGATCTTTGGGAAAGGAGAGTGTGCTCGGGTGAGAACCAGCTGTTTTCTGGTGGTGAAGGGGGGCCCTTGGCACCCAAAGTTGGGGAGGAAGGGGAGACTCCTCACAAGTATAGCCAGGCTCCAGAACTCACAAATTCTGTTTGGACTTTTCCTCCTCCCTATAATTTGGGCGTGACCCTCAAGTTAGCACTCATGGTACTTTATGGACGTGCACAGAGAAGTGAGAAATTTGTCATGCACTGAACACACTGCTGGCTGAGGTTGAACAAGATGACGCTCTGCCTTCTTGTTTCCACTCTTGGGCTACAAGTATCTCTTCCAGTCTGTTAGTGTCCTGTTTTTCTGCTCTTTATAGTTTTCGTTGATGATTTTGCTGTTTGAAGTAGGCCCTCAAGTATAGTGCTGAAGTGCTACCTAGTGTTCCTGAGCACAGAAAACCTGCGATGTGCCTTGTGGAGAAATCAGTGTGTTAGAGAAGCTTCATTCAGGCCAGTGAGAGAGCTGTTGGCTGTGAGTGATACATAAAGTCAGAGTCTTTAAACAGAAACACATGTGGAACCACGTTGTGTTGATCAGTTGACAGCAGTTGTGCAGTGGCCCACAGGTACCCCATTGTATTTCCGTAGGAGCTGTGGGTCAGGGTTAGCTAGCCAAAATCAGTAGCTTTAGTGACTTTATAGAACCTCAAATAGCAAGCACAGTGTAACTGATTTTCTGCCTTACTGGGAATTGGTGGTTGCTGTTGGCTCTAAGTGGTGGCCAATAGCAAATGCTTTTTCATATCTGCTTATTTCTTTTCTTTTTTTAAAAATATCTTTATTTATTTATTTTTATGTGGTGCTGAGAATCAAACTCAGTGCCTCACACATGCAAGGCAGGTGCTCTGCCACTAAACCTCAGCCTCAGCCCAATAGCTGCTTCTTTCTTTCTTTCTTTTTTTTTTTTTTTGGCTGAAATCATTTTCTTTCTTCTGAACCATGGACACTTGCTGTTTTTCTTCTATGTTTATAGCCCCGAATTCTACACATGAAGTTAGAGTGCTGAAGGTCACAGCCATGTGTTTTCAGAGGTCTTAGTCTATAGAAGTCTGGCTCCATTTCTTGGGGCTTGAGATAGGCTGAACATCATGGGGGCATGTGTGGCAGAGGGAAGCAGCTCACATCATGGTGACCAGGAAGCAGAGAGAGCACTTATTTCTTAATCAGTCTCACTCTTGCAGTTTTTTTCCTATTTTGATGATCTGTTTTTAGCTGAAGTTTTGAATCTGCTAGTTCTGGAAGGCGCCACCTGATCCAGTGTTTTATTTCCAGCAAGTTGCCAATATGATGATCAGGATGAAGAGAGAGTTTACAGGAAGCCAAAATTCAATATTTCCTGTTTTTGACAACCTCTTATTGCTTGATCGAAATGTGGATTTATTAACACCTCTTGCCACTCAACTTACATATGAAGGACTCATTGATGAAATCTATGGCATTCAGAACAGTAAGTGACATCTATTTTTATTAATAGGTAATATGATAAAAATACCCTTTTTGTGGAGGCTACCATTCTTACGTGGCATACTTAAGCATTATGTGAACTTAAAGATCCAGTTTCTAATGGTGATTTCAAAGTGTAGATTAGCATAAACCTTTTTTGCGGCAGTTTGGCAACTCATAAGACTTTCACTCTTGGCTCAAGAAAATCCAAAGCTTTAACGTCCCTTGAGGAATCATTCCAAAAAAAGAGATCAAGGAGGTTTACAAAAAAATTTGTATTTCCATTTCTTTTCTAGAATTTCCTGAATAATCCAAATGGTTGAGAACTTTATAAAATAATAAATGTGGAACATGTGTAACTACATAGCCAATTATAAATTTTATATATGTGTGTATAATATGTAGTTTATATGTATATCTATCTATCTATATAAATAGTATACATAAAATAACCAAATAAGAGCATCCAAAAAGAAGAAAATAACTGGAGGAGGAATATCCAGACCATGCCTCATGGCTGGCGATAGTTCTGGAGAGTTTGTGAAGAGGTGGCTGTGCAGGGTTGGAAAGAAGGGTAGAGTTCAGGCGGAGGCTCTGGGGAGGGATGAGCAGCATGCTTAATGCTGCCCATGGTGTGACAGCAAGCTCGTAAAAGGAAAGAGCACAGATGGGGAAATCCTCAGGAACAAGGCTGATACAGAAGGTGAGGGTCACTAGTTGGAAGATTGGACGGCCTGCTAGGTTTGGGGCATAGCAGGTTATTAGGTTAGAGGTCACAAACATGTTTTATTTGGTTGATTTTGGCCCATGTGATACTACAAAAAGATACTTCTTTGTTTCTGTCAGCATTTAAAATCTGAGAGATTGTAATTAATTTATTTATTATTATTATTATTATTTTGCACTGGGGATTGAATCCAGGATGCTCTACCACTGAACTATATTCCCAGCTCCTTTTATTTCTGAGGCTTTAGGGTCTTGGGCTGGGGATGTAGCTCAGTAGTAGAGTGCTTGCCTAGCATGCATAAGGCCTTGGGTTTGATCCTCAACACCTGCCAAAAAAGGAAAAAAAAAAAAAAAAAAGTGCCAGACAGGGTTTTGCTAAGTTGCTGAAGCTGGCCTCAGATTTAACAATCCTTCTGCCTCAGCCTCCCAAGTAGCTGGGATTACAGGTGTGCACCACTTCCCACCCCAGAGAATTTGGGATGGGAAGGGGTGACCTGTAAGGGCTGCAGGAGATGGTTGTGTAAACAAGGTGAAAGGTCAGCAGGGATTTTCCAAGAAAATAAAGCATATGTGTAAACTCACAACCTCTTTGTTTTTTCTTTTGTTTTTGTTTTTTATGGTACCTGGGATTGAACCCAGGAGTAGTTAACCCCTGAGCTACATCTGCAATGCTTTTGTATCTTTTTTATTTTGAAACAGGGTCTTGATAAGTTGCTTAGGGACTTGCTAAGGCTAGCTTTGAACTTGTGGTCCTCCTGCTTCAGCCTGTCAAATTTCTGGAATGAAAGGTGTGTGCCACCACATCCCGCTAATTCACGGCCTCTTTGTAGCTTTTTTTTTTTTTTTTTTAACAAGTTAAACATTGATTAGGGAAACTGGAAAAATAGTAGAAAAGCTAGGTTTGGTGGTACACGCCTATTAAACCCAGCTACTTGAGAGGCTGAGGCACATGCTCAAGAATAGCCTGGGCAATTTAATGAGACCCTGTCTCAAAATTTAGGGGAAAAAAAAAGGGGGAGGGGGCTATGCATGTAACTCAGTGGTAACGTGCCCCGGGTTTGATACCTAGTACTGCAAAAAGAAGAGGAGGAGGAAGATCAGGGAGGGGTTGTTATGCATACTACATATGGAATGGGTGTGGCAATGTGCCAATAAAACTTTATTTTCAAAAACAGAAAGTAAAAATATGCAATGGCATATGCCTGTAATCCCAGCAATTGGGGAGGCTGAGGTAAGAAGATTGCGAGTTCAAAGCCAGCCTCAGCAACTTAGTCAGGCTCTAAGCAACTTAGACCCTGTCTCAAAATTTGAAAAAGGCTTAGGGATGTAGCACAATTATTATTTTTTTTAAATTTTTTTTTTTAAAGAGAGAGTGAGAGAGGAGAGAGAGAGAGAGAATTTTTAATATTTATTTTTTAGTTCTCGGCAGACACAACATCTTTGTTGGTATATGGTGCTGAGGATCGAACCCGGGCCGCACGCATGCCAGGCGAGCGCGCTACCGCTTGAGCCACATCCCCAGCCCGTAGCACAATTATTAAGCACCCCTGAATTCAATCACTGGTACCAAAAAAAAAAAAAAGGAATTGGGCAGAATTTGGCCTTCATGCCATAGTTTCTGACCCTTGTTCTGGAGTGGCTTTCAAACTATTTTTGATCTGCACCCCACAGTAAGAAATATATTTTATATCACACATGCATATATGTATGTATAAAAAAAAAGCAGAAGTTTTATTAATAATAAAAACCCACCTGCCCTTAGTTCATGTGATACACTCTGGTATTTCCTCTTTTGTTTGTTGCTGTTTTGTTTTTTTCTGTTTTTTAATATTTCTCGCCACCCAGTGGCTTGATTTCATGGCACCTAACGGGACATCACTTACGGTTTGAAAACCATAGAAGACATTGGGCAGATCCTTGTAAGTTGTTTTTTTTTTTTTTTTTATGGTGCTAGGCATCAAACCTAGGGCCTTACTCATATTAGTCAATTCCTGTATCACTGAATCACAACTAACTTAGAAGAGGAAAAGGGACCTAATTCCTCAAGAAGTTTAGGAACTGGACATTGCTATGGTAGCTTATATATAGGTGCCCCCAAAGAAAAATGGAACCATGGTATCAATGCTAAAGAGTCACTATTATTTTTTTTTTTTTTTAGTACCAGGGATTGAATCCAGGAGTGCTTAACCACTGAGCCACACCCAGCCCTTTTTATTTTTTTATTTTGAGATAGGGTCTCGCTAAATTGCTGAGGCTGGGTTTAAACTTAAAATTCTCCTGCCTCAGCCTCCTGAGCTTCTGGGATTACCAGTGTACACCACCATGCCCATCAAGAGTCACTCTTTCCTGTACTTGTATCACGGGATATAAAAACCCAGAGCTATGTGTCACTGTCTTGTTAAGCTATCTTCCATTCTCTATTGAACTGGAAATTCCCTTTTATGCCTGGGTACTTGATTGTTGCTTCTTCCAGTAATTGCACATAGGTGCTCTTTTCCTCCCATTGTCATTCAGGTTATGTGAAATTACCCCCAGAGAAATTTGCACCTAAGAAGCAGGGTGATGGTGGGAAGGACCTCCCCACAGAAGCAAAGAAGCTGCAGCTGAATTCTGCAGAGGAGCTCTATGCTGAGATCCGAGATAAGAATTTCAATGCGGTGGGCTCTGTGCTCAGCAAGAAGGCAAAGATCATCTCTGCTGCCTTCGAGGTGAGACGAGCTTTGATTGTCATCCTGCTATCTTCCATTGCTAGGGTGCCCACCTGCAGGAGAATAAGAACAACCACACAGCCACAAATAGCTAGCTGCACTTTCCTACCCTGAGTAATTGCAGGTCCCTGAGGACCCAGGAATTTCTTTCTTTTCAGACTTTTTCTCGGACCCATGACAAAAGAGGTCCTGTTAGGTTTTTCTCCTTTTGTAGAGGACATAGGGCACACATTTGTAGTTTATAAGTTTTCTGTGTAAACATTTTCAATAACTTCCTTTAAATTATTTCCTACTTAAGAGGAAGACAGCTGTACTAAAAATAAAAGCTCTTTTGTGATAGAACTTGCAGTTCATGATGAAAACTGCAGGTCTAGCCACTGTGACAGTGGCAGGGGAACCCTGCATGTGTGGTGGGTGATAATGAGACTAAAGTCCCTGGCAGCCCAGAGCCTCATTATCACTTCCTGCCTCCTCTTGCCCATCAACTGGTTTCTTCTTGTTAAAGCTCCTTTGTGAAACATGGGAATCAGTAAGCTGATAAACTCTGAATATTTAGACTTAGAAGATATAAATTAGAAAAGTTTTAGAAAATTTTTTCACTGAGTAGTTCTAAATTTTTCTTAGGAATTATATTCATTAATTAATTTTTATATTTCTGAGGATACTTTTAGTTGAAATTACAAAATTTTGTCTTGAAAAACAGTCTCATCACTAAACCAGGTTCATTTTGTTATACTCAAGATTGACATTCAGAGAAGGACTGGATTTGTTTCTATCAGGGAGGAAACAGTTTACTGTTTATAGCCTCCTCTGCGCAAAACCTGATTTTTTTCATCTTAGTTTTTTACTCAGAAATTTGTGTGGTTTACCAAATATTGTCCACTAATACTTGAATGCCCACAAAATACTGTCAAAACGTATGAAATGATACACAGGAAAAGAGAATTGTAGGCACTTTCTCTATTAAAAAAAAAAAAA